CTCTCTCTCTCTCTCTCTCTCTCTCTCTCTCTCTCTCTCTCTCTCTCTCTCTTCCTCTCATTGTAGAATGCCAGAGTCTCCTGGTGAAGTTTCTGAATATCCTTTGTTTGTCACAGTTGGTGACTGGCTGGATTCTATAAAGATGGGACAATATAAAAATAATTTCATGGCAGCAGGGTTTACAACTTTTGACCTGATTTCAAGAATGAGCATTGAGTAAGTGGTACTAGGATTATTTATTTCTTTCTTTTTAAAATTAATTTTCTTGGTACACTTTTGACATGCATAATGATCACATTAGTCATAGGGAATTTGTACATAATATATCTTAATTCTTTTTTTCCCATTCCCCTTTCTTTCCTTTGTTTCTTCTTCCCCTCTCCATATATAAAACTTTATTTCCATTGTTTTCCTTCCATTCTTTTTTATTTTTTAGCCCTATTCCTTTCCTTCTCTTCTCCCTCTCTCATTCCCTTCCCACTTGAACATTTTCTTACTACTTCCCAATATCTATCACCCATTTTGGTCCTTATTTATCCCTTGGGCTTCTCACACAAAATAAATAGTATGATATTTAAACATGTGTGCCTGATTTATTTCACTTACAATTATGTTCTTGAGGTGCAACCATTTACCTAAAAATGTCTCAGGTCTATCCTGCTTTATGCAGAGTAGTACTTCATAGCATATGAAAACCACACTGTCTTTATCTATTCATCCATTGTTGGCTGTTTCCAAGATTAGCTATTACAAACTATGCTGCTATAAACATGGGTGTGCATATATCATTGTGGTGAGATGCTTTTAACTAGAGGTCAAAAGGAACCTCTAGTTTTAGTTTTTTGAGGAATCTCCATACTAATTTGCATAGTGGTTGTATCAATTTAAATTCCCACCAGCAGTGAGAAGGGTTCCTTTTTCCCCTCAGCCTTGCCAGCATTTGTTGTTGTTTTTCTCTAGAACTTTCCATTTAATGTTTTTTTTTTAATTCACTGTATTGGTATTCTTTAGATATATGTAATGATCACATTCATCCTAGAGAGTTTGTACCTGTACTAATACATCTTGATTCTTCTTTTCCCCTCGCCTCTCTCTTCTACACTTCTTCCCCTGCTTATTTACAAAAGCTTTGTTTCAATTTTTCCTTCTATCATTTTTTTCTTTTCTCATCCTTCCCTTCACAACCCACTCTCACTTTTTCCTCTTCCCATTTGAATATTTTCTTCCTACTTCACAGTATCCACTATACATTTTGGTCCTTATTTAGCCTTTTGGCTTATTACAGAAGGGATAGAATGCAATATTTAAACATGTGTGTCCAATTTATTTCACTTAACAGTGTGGTCGCAAGGTGCATGCATTTACCTAGAAATGTCTTAAATTTGTCATTCTTTATGGCAGACTAGTACTCCATTATATATTTTTTTTAAAAGACATCTTCTTTATCTATTCATCCATTGGTGGGCATTTGGTCTATTTCCAAAATTTAGCTATTATAAATTGTGCTGCTGTAAACATAGGTTGTGTATATCACTGTGATATGATGCTTTTAATTCTTTTCGGGAGATATGTAGAAGGGGAATAGCTAGGTCAAATGGAACCTCTCCATAGTGGTTGCACCAATCTACACCGCCATCAACATTAGGGAAGGGTTCCTTTTTTCCGACAACCCCACCATCATTGTTATTGGCTAATTTCTTTTTTTTTTTTCTTTTTTGGTACTGGGAATCGAACTCGGGACCTTGCACTTGCGAGGCAGGCTCCAGAACCACTGAGCTAAATCCCCAGCCCCTGATTTCTTGACAATAGCAATTCTTTCTGGAGTGAGATGGAATCTGTGTTGTTTTAATATGCATCTCTCGAATCGTCAGTGATGTTCAACATTTTTTTCATATATTTATTTTCTGTTTGTACATCTTCATCTGAGAAGTATCTATTTATATCAGATACCCATTTTTGGATTGGGTCTTTAAATTTGGAGAGTCTGATTTTTAAGTTCTTTATATATTCTGTATATTAATCCTTTGAGGAACAGCTGGCAAAATTTTTTTCTCACTCTGTGGGTTGTCTATTCACTCTATTAGTGGTTTCTTTTCCTGTGCAATACCTTTTTATATGATATCATCCCAGTTAGTGATTCATTGTAATACTTCTTGTGCAATTGGGGTTTTGTTCATAAAGCTTTTGCCTACAATTATGTCAAGAGTTTCACCTATTCTATCTTCCATCAGATTAAGTGTTTCTGTTTTAATATTTAGATTTTTGATTCATTTCAATTTTAGTATATGGTGAGAGATATGGGTCTAAGTTTAATATTTGGCATGTGGAAAGCCAGTTTTCCCAGCACCATTTATTAAAGAGGCTATCTTTCTTCTAGTGAAGGTGTTTGCCCCCTTTGTCAAAGATAAGGTATTGTAGCTGAGTATGTCTAGAATTGTTTCTGGATCTTCTATTCTGTTCCACTGATTCTCTGGTCTTTTTTTTGCCAATACCATGCTGTTTTTATCACAGTAGCTTTGTAGTATAATTCAAGTTGAGGATTTTGCTGCCCTTTGGGCTGCCTTTGTTGCTGAGAATTGCTTTTGCTATTCGAGGTCTTTTCTGCTTCCATGTGAATTTTGGAATTATTTTGTCTAGTTCTGTGAAGTATGCTATTGATATTTTGATCAAGATTGCATTAAATATGTATAATAGTTCTGGAAATATGGCCATTTTCACTATATTGGTTCTGCCTATCCAAGAACAAAGGATATCTTTCCATTTTCTAACATCCTGTTAGATCTTCTTTTTCAGAATACTGTAGTTTTCAATGTAATGGTCTTTTACTTCCTCTGTTAAGTATTCGCTAAGTATTTCATTTTTGATGCTATTGTGAAAGGTGTGGTTTCCTTAATTTCTCTCTTAGTGAGTTTGTTATCTGTGTACAGGAATGTTATAGATTTTTGAGTGTTGACTTTGTATCCTGATACACTACTGAATTTAGTTATTAATTCTAGGAGTCTTTTGCTGGAACTTTTGGGGTCTTGCATGTAGAGTATTATCTCATCCACAAATAATGATAATTTCATTCCTTCCTTTTCTATCCTTATTCTTTCTATTTCTTTCTCTTTTCTAGTTGCTTTGGCTAGTGTTTCCAGAACTATATTGAATAGGAGTGGTGATAGTGGTACATCCTTGTCTTGTTCCTGATTTTAGAATGAAAGCTTTCAGTTTTTGACCACTTAGTATGATGTTGGCTATCTCTTTGTCATATGTTGCTTTTATCAGATTGAGATAAAAACTTTCTATTCCAGTTTTCTGTAGGGTATCATGAATGGATGTTGGACATTGTCAAATGCTTTTTCTGCATCTATTGAGATGATCATGTGATTTTTGTCTTTGGCTCCATTGATATGTTGTATTACATTTATTGATTTGCATATGTTGAACCATCCCTGCATCTCTGGGATGAATCCTACTTGGTCATGGTGTATAATCTTCTTGATGTTTTGCTGCATTCTGTTCACCAGTATCTTGAGAACTTTTGCATCCATGTTCATTAAGGAGATTGGCCTGTAGTTTTCTTTTTTTGTTGGATCCTTCTCTGGTTTTGATATCAGGGTAATGCTGGGTTCCAGGAACGAGTTTGAGAGTATTGCTTCCCTTCCAGTTTCACTAAGGAGTTTGAAAAGTAGTGACATTTGATCTTCTGTAAATTTCTTGTAGAATTCAGCAATGAATACATCAGGACCTGGGCTTTTCATTGTTGGTAGTTTCTTTATTACTTTTTTTTTGTATTAAATTCTTTTATTGATACATTGTAGGTATACAACACAATTACATTTCTCATTGGGAATTGTACCTTTATATAATGCATCTTGGTTCTTATTTTTTCCCCATTCCTAGCCCTCCCTTCACGCCCTCCACCCTTCCCTATTTACAAAGACTTTATTTCCATTTTTTCCATTTATCATCATTTTTTCCTTTCCCTTCTTTCCTTTCCCCTGCCCCTCCCACTACCCCTACGCCTTTGGACCTTTTCTTCCTATTTTACATTATCGATTATTCATTCTAATCATTGGTACATTTTAGGTATACAATATAATGACATTCATCATTGGAAATTTGCACCTTTACATAATCTCTCTTGGTTCTTATTTTTCACCCTTGCCCAGCCCTCCCTATTTACAAAAATTTTGTTCCTATTTCTCCATTTTCTCATATTAATCCCATTCCCTTCTAGCCTTTCCCCTAGCCCTCCCCCTTCCTTCCCCTTTGCCCCTTTTCTTCCTATTTCACATGACCTATTATACATTTAATCCTTATTTACACTTTCAGTTTCTCACACCAGAGAAACTATTTGGTATTTACACATGTGTGTCCTATTTATTTCACTTAAGAGTATTGCCTCAATGTGCATCCACTTAGCTGTAAATGTCTCTAATTTCTCATTTTTTATGGCTGAGTAGTACTCCATTTTATTAAAAAACCACATTTTCTTTATACAGTCTCCAGTTGATGGGCATTTGGGCTGTTTCCAAGTTTTAGCTATTACAAACTGTGCTGCTATGAACATGAAAACAATGCTGAGATTCCACTTCACTCCAGAAAGAATGGCTGCTATCATGAAATCAACCAATAACAAATGCTGGCGGGGCTGTGGGGAAAGAGGAACCCTGCTCCACTGCTGGTGGGAGTGTAGACTGGTGCAAGCACTGTGGAAATCAGTATGGAGATACCTCAAAGAACTAGGACTGGAAATCCCATTTGACCCCGCTATTCCACTGCTGGGGATCTTCCCCGAATAATTAAAAGAATCATACCACAGTGATATATGTGCACCCATGTTCTTTATTACTTTTTAAATTTCATTGGCAGATATTGGGTTATTTAGAATTTTCATATCTTCTTGATTCAGCTTTGGTAATTCATATGAATCTAGGAATCTGTCCATTTATTCTGAGCTTTTCATCTTATTAGAGTACAGGTTCTCAAAGAATACATTGATGATCTTAAGGGTTTCTGCAGGATCCATTGTGATTTCACCTTTTCATTCCTAATTGCATGGATTTGAAGGGTTTTTTTAGTTTTTTTAAATAAAGTTGCCTAAGGGTTTGTCAATTTTATTAAATCATTCAACAAACCAATTCTTTGATTCATTGATTATTTGTATTGTTTTCTTAGTTTCAGTTGCATTAATTTCTGCTTCAACCTTTATAATTTCCTTCCTTATATATGCTTTGGATTTAACTCTCTCATAGAAGCTTGAGGTTCAATGTTAGGTTATTTATGTGAGCTTGTTCTGTTTTTCTGATGTGGGAATTCACTGCTATAAATTTCCTTCATAGGACTGCTTTCATTACATCCTCTAAGTTCCAATATGTCATATTGGCATTACCATTTAATTGTAGAAACAGTCTAATTTCTTCTTTAATAATGTTCTTTTCAGGAAATTATAAATTCAAATGCCATGTGAAGAACATATTTCCTAAGGTTCATATGTCATTTCCACAATTTCTATTGTTCTGGTGGAAATTGAATGTTACATTTTAAACTACTATTCTTTGAAAAAAATAATTAATTCAAATAACTTTAAGTATTTTTAAAGCTTTCTACAATGTAGACTATTTTTGTTCATATCCTAGACTTTATATCAACATATTTTTCTCTTGGTAAATTAGCTATTACTCATATAAACTAATATTGCTTAAGCAATTCCTATAATTCCTATCCAATTAATACAATATTGGGCCAGGGATTTAGCTCAGTGGTTCTGTGGTTGCCTGGCAAGCCCAAGGTCCTGAGTTCAATCCCCAGTAACACATACACACACACGCATGCAGGCATGCACAAATTAATACAATATTATCATGTCACTTTAGAGCTCCTCCTGAGTATTGTAATAATGTAATGGTCAACTGTCTATTATTTCAAAATCACCCATTGCCAATGGGCATTAGAAATCCTCATGTCAGTTAAAGGACTAAATACTGAGACAATTAGATTGAGCCATACAAACTTGTCATTATTTTAAAACAGTAATTTCATATGGTTCAACATAATGACAACTTTTTTTTCAGATTACTGAAATACTGTGGGAACTAGGAGTCTACATTGTATTTTCCATATTTCATTCTAACCATTTTGCTACCACTGTTGCAAATTTATCTAACCACATATTTAAATTACATATAGCCTTTGGGCCTACAAAATATCTAAGATAAGTATGTGAATATGAAATTTTTTCTTGTTTCATTAAATTTGAGCTTAATGTGGTATATTCTGTGGATCCAGAGAGAAAAATATAACAAATTTTCACTGTTCATTTATATCTATGCTTAACAAGCTACAAAAATTTTGGCAAATGTGACATTGTGCATATTTAATATGTGTAAGCCCTTCATTTTTTTCTCTCTCATATTTACCAAATTTACATGTTTTTCTCTTCCTTTCTCTCAGTGATATTAGGAGAATTGGAGTCATACTCATTGGACACCAGAGACGAATAGTCAGCAGCATACAGACTTTACGTTTACATATGATGCACATACAGGAGAAAGGATTTCATGTATGAAAGTACTATGAACACCTGTGTTTTGTGCCTCAGCATTTCTAAAATGAAAGATATCCTCTGTACTGCCCTCTCTTCTGACTGTCCAAAAATCCTTTCACAAACCAGTCACTTATTCAAACTATGCCACACACCCTATGTTTATGCTTCCAACCTGGATTTTAAAACCATACTACTACACAAATCCTCTCCAAATAGCCTGCAAATAAAACCCTGGCCCACTACAAATTATTGCTACACAATGATGAATAACTCAGCATGGATGTGTAACTTTGTATAGACGTATTTGGGAAGTGTTCATGGACTTAACCTAAAGGAATTTGTCCAGATATGGCATCCTTAATGATGTATGTAGAGTTTGATGGTAAATGAGATAGATATAGCTGGACTTTCTTTCATGTTTTGTGATCAAGTAATTGCCAAACTAACATTAATATTATTTTTAGATAGTTTTACTCAACTCTATCTGTTGTATTGTTGCTTTATTTTCATACTTTGTCTATTAGCACCTGATGTTAGAATGATTTACAGAATTGACAAAGGATTCTGTGTAAATGCATTCTTGTCAGGTGCGACTCTGGTGAGAAGGGGGTTAATGGAGAGGGTAAGGGAGAAAAATACTGTGATTTTAAATCTTCTAAGGCTGGGTTTGTCTATTTTTAAATTAACCATATGATGTCGTTCACATTTCATAGTAGGAGGTACTTTAGAGGCTTTTCTCTTCTGATTTTTTTTTTTACTAACTATTGTGTATTTCTCTACTATGTTATGAAAACTGCCCTTGCGAAGACCAAGAGTGTGTCCATTGCCCTAAAGGTTTTCATAGAATGAAGCATGGAGTAAATCCATTAATGTTCCTTTGATCCATTTTTCACAAGTTTACGAAAGTAATTATCAAAAAACTGAGAAAATTAGTTGATCTTGTAGAATTGCTTTGAATAAAACATCTAAGATTATAGCCTTAGATTTAGGGTGAAATTATTAATTAATTTAAATAGAATTTTATGATAGCTATAGCAGCCCAAGAAAATAAACATATCTGTCTGACTGATACCAGTATATTTTCCAAGTTTAAGAATTCTTATGTTTCAGTGCAAAAATAAGTTACATGAACATGCTGAGCTCTTTTCCAAACCTTCTAAGAAATAAATATGAATACTCCAAACAGGATATAAACAGATCTTACACTTGAGCATGTATATGTGTGCGTGCGTGTGTGTGTGTGCGCGCACGTGTTAACCTGGCTCCATAATACAGTTGCATAAAAATGTGAGCAAAGCTAAGATATGTTGTTGTCATAATCTTCTCAGAGCCTTGCCACAAAAAGGCAACCATATTTTTCAGTGAATTATGCTCAGTCAGCTTGTCAAAATAGTGCTGTCTTATGAACAAAATCATTTATAAAGTCAGCTGTTCCTTGTGAAAATATAAAAACATTGACTACCATGCTAGGTGGAAAGAGTAAAGAGAATGTGTTAAGGGGGACAAAAATGCAGTGCAAGCTGTCTACAGATGTTAATTTAATCATTTGTTTTTTATTTAATATCAGAGACAAAGTGCCCTATCCACATTTTTAAATTTCTACCTAAATTATACTTTTTGGTAAAAACAGTGTTCTTTGTATTTAATGGTCCTTGTTTTCTTTCTTTATTTTCCTTATTTTAAGATTTTGATGACTGTCCATTTTACTAGAACCTTCCACGTATTTTATCTTGGTGATTTATCTCCTGTTTTTTTCTATCACCACTTAATTTTTCTTGTTTCAAAAAAAATGAATAGAGCTAGAAAGACATTTTTAGAGTATTTCGTATGTATACTATAAAAAGAAAAAGTGAGACATCATTCACTTTTTAAATAAGTGTGTCAGAAATATCTAGAAAACTTTTGTGGCTATCAACCTGCATGGTCATGCACTACTCATAGACTATATGCAGTTTGCTTGATATATTTACCTAAATCTGGATACATTTAAAGTAAATATAAAATTTCCATATTTATCTGTCTTTAAATATACATTAAATAAAAACAGATGTAAGCAGATTAAATTTATTAATCATATATTTTATTTTTATAAAACAACAAAAAGGTATTTAGAAAATAAGAGAATAATATGGTGTTCCATAGGACTTTGTCAGCAACATCTGTATACCTTGATAAAATAAATTGTATTAAACTATTTAAACTTCTATGGGATGGACATTCAGTGATTGTAATATTAAAGATTTCTTTTAAGAATATTTTTCTTGAGTAGATGTGCTGCTTACGCTTGTTAATTTTAGCTACTCCAAAGGCTGAAGCGGGAGGATCAGAAGTTCAAGGCCAGTCTGCACAAACCTGTCTCAAAATTTAAAAATAAATAAATAAATGCATGTGTATAGCTCAGTGTTCCCTGAGTTCAATCCCTAATACTGCTAAAAATATTTTCTTTTCTTAAAAACATTTTATTACACTATCTATCTTCTGGTTAATTTATACTTTTTTTTTCCTTCCCTAACATTTTCTTTGAGTATCAGAAAACTCTGTTTCCTCTTGGCCTCTTACCCCATATCCTCCTTGAAATTTCTTTTAAATTTCATTTATGTTTTAGAAAACTGTAAACATGATTATAAATGTAATTTTGAATTTCATCCTGGTCAAAGTAAGGTTAAAACATATGTATAAAATTAACAGAAACATTAAATATGAGGATATTTATTTCTTTCCTGCCTACCAGTTAATGGACCCCATGATCCCATTGGTATAATATATAGTACTATTAATAACTTAAATGACAAATTAGTTTGGAAATTTTACGTGAAACAGTTTCATATTTACTGGTGCACATAATCAGTAACTGAATCTGTTTAATATGTACAAGCATAAAAATTACTCAAAAAATTAGTAACTCCCATAAATCACATGTCATTAGGATTAAACTTAGATAATTAAAATATGCATATATATTTATATATCAGCTTTTAAAATATTTCTTAATATGTTCTATTGAGAGAACTTTTTGAATTTTGAAAGTCAGTTAAAGAAGCCAATTTTTTCTTATTTTCTGGGTAGTCAATTTCTAGTCTATAGCCAACTCATTATCTCATGATATAAGTCATATTTGGGAAAAATATAAAAATAATGTACAATTGGGAGAAATTAGGTACTGTATTAAATCATTGAGCTTAAAAGGCAATCAGAAATTGTGAAACTCAGCTTAACAGGAATCAAGAATGACAGAGTTTAGCAGTGAGTAATAACTATTAATAAATAAGTTATGCATGCATAATAAAAATTATTTCACTCTGCATTACTTCTTAAAATCTGCTCAACAATATAATCTGCATAAAACATCTTCCAGCTACAATTTTAAGGACTATCTCAGCCCGTGAATAGAAAACACATGCAAATCCAATCCTTGAAAAGCAGTCTTTATAGAATAGTGAAGAATGAATTGTTACATTTCATCCAAGCACATTTCTAAAAGATATTTTAATATGTTTTCTAATAACTTTCTGTTCTGCAAGGTAGTCAGATAAATATCCTTATCTCAAGATTTTAACCAGTACTAGGTATCTTTTTTCTATTCCTTTATTAGATTTTCTAAAGCTTTGTTTTTAAATCACTCTTTTCTTTTTAATTCACCATCTTATCCTTTGTTACTTTTTCAATTTTTATTACTATGTCCTGTATCCCTGTCAACTTAAGAAAGTGCAGAAAATCTATAATGATCTTCCTGATCTTCTTAAAAGAAGCTGAAGGGTAGGGAAGGTTGCAAATACTGTACTTTTAATATGATAGTCTTATCACACGAGACCACTTGTATTCACAGAGGGTACAGATTCTGGCTTTGCTTTAATGGAAGATTAAATATTTTGGAAAATAATTTAACATTAATGATTATGATTATTTTCTATAGCTTTAGCTAAGGACATTTAACATTAATTTTAAATTAGTGTTTTAAGAAACAAAAGTTGTTATTCTATCTCACAGTGTCTGTCTTTATATAGAAAAGAGATTTAAAGCTGTGAATCACATCTTTTACTATGATCACCTTAAAATTTCCAGGCTCAAATTTCACAAAGTAGAAGAAACCCATATTACTTCATATTTAATTTAAAAGTATTTTATTGTTTTTAAATACAGACTCTAGAAGGTAGAGGAGCACAGTGGGTAAACTCATTGTATTCTCCTATCAGAATACCATGTACTGAAGTCATTTAACTTTTCATTTTTATGATCAACATTTCCAAAGTTTATTTCAAATTTTATAAAGTTCAACAAAGGCACCATAAACTTTATTCAGTTCAGTTTAACAAACATCTATGGAGTGCCTCCTATGTGCATAAAATCTTACACAAAGATAAATTTTCATATACTGTCCTTGTTTTGAATTGAGTCTCAAGCTTAAAATTTAGAAGTTAGAACCTGTTTGTAGTTTTCAGTGGTTGTCCTATCACTGGGGGTTGGCTCTTTCCATAGAATAAAAACCAATACATAGGAATTGGTCCAGTATGAATTATATTTGCAATCTCTTCCAGAAGGAAATATTTTGGACCTCAAATTCACATAGAATTCTTTCCAACCACACTGTAGTTTGGCAAAGAGAAGCATGCTTGCTAGGTTCTCTAAGATATTCTCTTATTAATAGTTGATCCTTGTCAAGAGTCACAAATTTTTATTGTCCAGAGGCAAAGCTTTTAGTTCATATATAGACTCATACCTCAAAGATGCGTTCAATTAGAAAACATCACCCTCTTTTTAAAAGCAATCCTGAAATTAAAATTTTGCCCAAGATAATTACTAGGCCTAGTAACTGTAATAATGAGTATAATCTTCAAGGGTTGCAGAAAGTTCTTTCAAGTGTGATCCATTAACAAGAAAAAAGATGACAACTCATGATGAGATATATCATGTTCCTAAATGAAATGAAGGAAAAGAAAAATCTGATGTTGCACAAAGTAAATACCTCCATCTTTCTCTTAGTGTTAACTTAGAAAAAGTTAAGTATTAAGCAGGTGTTTCAAGGATTTCTTAGGATAAAAAACTAATTTGTTTTGTTCTAAGGGAATGTGACACGATATGTGACAAAAAAGATCAAAGGATCAAGGAGAAAACAGTCATTAAAATGTAGTTTTAGCTAATCCTCTTTTTCTGACTAATAGATTCAAATTATTCAGCCAAAATTTTACGAGAATATTGAAAGGCTTGAGGTTTTTGCTCCTAATTCAAGTTTTTATTTAGTTGGCACTTTTTGGAGAGTCTAAAATATCTTTGAATATTTACCCTTGGCTTACCAGTATAGACTAAAAATTATTGTATGTTATATGAATCAAAAAAATTGAACGAAAACTTTTCAACTACAAAGGAAGTCAAAATGCTACTAAATGAATAAACTTCACCTTTTAAAAAAGAATCTGACAACTGTAAACTTTGTATCCCAATGATATTAAGTAACATCCATTTTCTTATATTTCTGTACTTTCCCATAGAAAGCAAAGTTTTAAGCAAAACAAAGGTTTTTGCTCAGATTTCTACACTGGCTGGACTCCCAAATCTCTGCATCACTAAGGGAACCTTTTGATTGGTTTTCCTTTAAGACAAAAATCTTAAACACAAGAGGGCCCTTAAACACAAGCGATTGATTCATCATTTAAATAACAAATGCATTAAAGAAATATTACCTAATGGAGTAAGATAAAAGATAGCTCTAAAATGTAATATAAAGATGTGGTTAATACTTGTTTTTTTTCAGTACTGAGGATTGAACCCAGGACATTTTACATGCAAGGCAAGCACTCCACCACTGCGCTACATCCCCAGGTTCATGATTTCTACTTTTGATTAGCAAATAAAATACAAATGAACAATACAATTTTCCCAGGAGTCGTCAGAGAAGTGTCAAAATTAGTGAAAAATCTTCTCTCAACTAAAACTCTATGCATATTTCTCCATCATTTGTATCTTTTGGCTGTCTTTAACTTGTCCTAATAATTCACTTTTAGTTAAGTAATAAGTTATTAACGCAAATGACAAACGAGAACAACTGAGATGTGGCTTTAAACTGTTCTACTACTAATAAAAGGAAAACAACCCTACTGTAGGATTCCTGTTTAGTGAGCACCAGTCTCCATCTCATTAGCCCTCACTGAAGGAAGAACTCTTTTTATGTCAAAATATGTAATGTTACTATGAAGAAAACTCTAAGACCATAAGAATCACCATTTTTCATATATCCAATTCAGATTTTATATTTAGGCACTACTAGGGGCCGAGGATTTAGCTCAGTGGTTCCCCTGCCTGCCCCACAAGCGCAAGGGCCAGAGTTCAATCCCCAGTACCAAAAAGAGAAAAAATGCTAGTATATTTAGGCACTACTACATTGGAGATATATGCCCTATTTTCATGAGTTAAATATGACCTTACATAACAAGCAAAATAGACTTTTATAAAATTTTCCATACTTATAGTTCATCCTTAAGACAGTCTTAATTTTCCTGTTCTAGGAAGACCCAATGTGATTTCAAATTTTTTAAATAATAAATAGCATGAATGTTAATTTCTGAAATGAGTAAACCATGCATTTCAAGATATTTACCTGATTTTAAATGTCTTCTTCTATTGAGTCTATGATTAGAAATCTCTCTTGTACATTTAGTTATTTGTAGAATCAACTGTATGAAGTTTAGATATAAACTGTTTTTAAATTTTTTCATTTAAATGTATCTTCAGAGAAGCCAGAATATAATTAATTCTATTAGCTCATTTCAAAGTTTTGCTCTTTATAATTCTCATCTATCCAGTAATATTATTAAAGACATAATGATTTTAACTGTTCATGCTTTACTTATTGCCATTATTTTTAATTTTTAAATAAATAAATCTACTTAAAATGTGGTCTTTTGAGGCTCTATAACAAAATCAATAGCCATTCACTTGCTAAAAAACCTGTAACTAAACAAGAAATTTTTCTGTCAATGTGATTAGTGTAAGCATTGTTTAATCCAATTTGTTCAAATATCCACTGGTATATTATCTAGAACTATTATTGCCATATCCCCAAAGTATCTTTAAGACAATGCTGAATATCATGGACAATAAATGATTGAGACTTCAAAATTTCTGCACTGAAAGTAAGGTTTAATGTGTATAAATATTTTCCACTGGAGTTTTGAATTTAATGTGTTCTTTCTCTCCATGTCATATATGTCTTCAAAGAAAAGTATGTTAATATATTCATACTATGCAAGAATTTCATTTTCTTCTTACAAAAGTATAGAGCCTCGGTATAACTTTAAGCCCCCAAGAGTAAAAAGTGAAAATGCAAAATGAGTGGGACTCAATACTTGAGTAGCACTAACAAATGTGAATG